ACAAGATAAGAATTAAGAACAAAGAGGAGAAGGAAAAATTGCATCATCAACCCCTTGGTTGCTTGCCTCATGGCTCCCCAAGGTTCTCTCCAATTATATTGCCATTTTTCCTCTCCCTTTGGTGCCTAAGAATTGCACAAAATCTGCACTCTATTCTACTAAAATCTGCTCTACAATTCTCCACTCATTCTCTTTGCATTACCTTTTATTTATAGAGGAAGGAAAGCAACGAAAGCATCAACATAATCATCATCTTCACTTGTTGGCAGCTGCACACATGGTGCTGCCCATTCTTCTTTTAGCATGGAGGTCTGGCTCTTTATTTGCTGCCAACCCATGTGCTGCTGTCCAAAGTTGCTGACTGCTAAAGTTCTTTTGCTGCTGCACATGTGTTGCTGGAAAAATGAATTCTTCTGCACCAGGCTTGGTGTAGGAAGGCCTGAGGTTTCAATATGTATCCAATGGGGCTCAAATTTGAATATGTTATAATAGACACCCATTGGAATAACTTTCATGAAGAATGCATTCCCATCTGAGCAGTAAAAACGTATGTTTTGGGGCTTGCAAGCTGACTGCCGAAAATGGACTGGAGTTTAGGCTTCATTTCTTTTCTCTCCTTGGGCTGCTGCACAAGAAATAGCTACCAATTAGAGAATTCAAATGAATGAGCCTTTATTTCAATGAAGTGCAAATGGATTTGTAAAATGCAATGTAACATTCTAATTGGTGCAAAATTAATTAAAACAAAGTACTAACAAATATAGATTAGGGATAGAAATTGTAATAATTATGTGTTTATCAATACTTGTGCAGAAGCCAAAAAATTCTTTAGCAGAAGAGAACTAGGGTCAGGAAAATCAGGTGGAAATGAACAACGAGACGCCTGTCAGAGAATCCTTGAGGTGAATACCGAAGTTGAACCTGTTGCTGTCAAAGGGGATAGAAGTAAATCCGTTCTGTTTGATGCATGTATTTTGGCCAAACAATTGATGGAATTGAAGGAAAAGAAATGGGAGCTAATGAGTAAAGTATGGGTGGAACTGCTCTCATATACTGCCGGTCATTGCAGAGCAAATGACCATGTTGAATTGCTGAGCAAAGGTGGAGAGCTTGTCACTTTTGTTTGGTTATTGATGGCTCATTTTGGCATAGGGGAGCAGTTCCAAATAAACGAGGGCCATGCTAGAGCAAAACTCATCGTGGGGAAGTAATTATTTGGAGTTAATATTAATTATCATATGAATCTTTGTTCTCATGAGACATTTGTACTGAATCCTATATAAGTTAATGAGATATTAGTGATCTGCATCTACTTGGAAAAATACACTTCTTGTCTTATGCTTTTATTTTCAGATGAAGCAATTTGACCAAGATAAGTTGCAAACTCCAATTTAGCTTAGCTCTCTACTTGGATTTCTTACTGTTTGTTTCTTTGAACATTCTCGTTTAAACCAAGTACATAGACTGAGAGCTGTGGTCTCAAATTACTAGAAGACTAAAAATTTCTTCTCCTGAATCATTGTAGATTATAAATATAGGAGGGGCCTCAGTTGTGGTCCCAAATCATGCTTTAAGCCAGTCGTCTCATGTGCTTCCTGGTAAAAAAAGAATCTGTTTAGAAGAAAACGACACTACTACAAGGTCTAAAGACTCCGAACCTGTCAAAAACGACTTACTAATAAAAACAACAGAGAATCTTTTCTTTTTTAGACAAGAATTGACTAAACCATCAACGCCACAGAAGGAGAAATCCTTTTTATGCAGCTGGATACCATGAAAGTTTTAGGTGAAATATCAGCATTCATATTGCTAAACCCAACTTCGCAGTAGGTGCATCTTAAAGAAAGGTACTTGAGTTGAATATTCGAAGTGGGTACGAATTTAAGTATATCACCCCAAAGAGAATGAGGATAGAAATCTCCATAGGAAAAGCCAAAGCAATTACCATATGATTGTGGCACAATGTCTCTTTTAAGTCAATCCAGAGAAAAAGTCGTGCAATCAAGAAAGAGTGCATAAGTTGGTTGCTCATATGAAGCAGAACAGAGACTAGGCCAGGCTTGCTAGCTTAACCAAGGTAAAAGGGTGTGGTGAAAACTATGGAGCTACCTATACCGAAGGAGGTCATGAAGATATGGGATGAATGGAATCTGAGGGGCTGTATTCTCTTGAGCCTTGCACTTCAAGTGTTCTTATTTTTTTGTGCACCACTGAGGCAAAAATGCAGAAGCAAATTGATTGTAGTGTTGATCTGGTCGGCGTACTTACTCTCCGACTGGGTTGCTGCGGTTGCAATTGGGGTAATCACCAAAAGCCAGGGTGACCCTTGTCAAACCAAAAGCCAGGGTGACCCTTGCCCTTGTGACTCTGGAAAGAATAAAGACCTTTTAGCATTCTGGGCTTCATTTCTTTTGGTGCATCTTGGTGGCCCTGATACTATTACTTCTTTTGCTCTAGAGGACAATGAGTTCTGGCTCAGGCATTTGATTCAACTCATTCTACAAGTCCTGGCAGCTGCTTACAGCTTCTATATGACACTTTTTGAAAACAAGCTTTGGTTCCCAACAATCTTAGTGTTTGTTGTGGGAACTATCAAGTTTGGGGAGAGAACATGTGCTCTGTATCTTGCTAGCTTGGACCATTTTGGAGAGACTGTATTGCCAGAGCCAGAGCCTGGGCCTGACTATGAAGAGGCTGTGGAAATATACTCTACAATGAGGTCAGTCGAAGTTCCAACACAAGAAGAGCGGCCAATAAGGCCAATGCACATTGGGAATTATAAGAACCCCAAATTTACAGTTGATGGAGTTCTTAAAGAATCTCTAGGTTCTTCATCAAAAAAAAAAAAAGAATCTCTAGATGACGTGCAGTTACTGCAGGAAGCATATCGCTTCTTTGAAAGTTTCAAAGGGCTCATTGTTGGTTTCCTTCTGAGCTCCAAAGTTCGAGAACGCAGCCGAGATTTTTTTCTCAAAAGAACCCCTGTTAGTGCTTTTCAATTGATAGAGTATGAGCTCAGCTTCATGTATGAGGTTCTCCATACCAAGGTGGTTGTGGCTCGTCACAAAGTTGGGTACATTCTCCGCTTAATTACCTTCTGTTCAACCATTGGTGCCTTGATGTTATTTGCTTTAGTTGGAAAACATAAGTTTGATAAGTTTGACATTGCTCTTACCTATGCTTTGCTTATTGGGGCCATAATCCTGGACACCCTGTCTGTGTTGAAGCTCATTTGTTCATACTGGACAGTCATTGCCTTCAACAACATCTGGAGCAGAACATATATTGGTGCATTGATATTGAAACTGAAAAGAGGAAGGTGGTCTGGATTGGTGTCCAAGTATAATATGATAAGCAATTGCCTGGATGAGCCTCCAGAATGGGTGTACACTTTTGCTGGTTATGTGGGCGTTAGAGGAATTCTAGATAAAATAAAAGTCTGCTTTTTTTCAACCTCAGAGGCAGTCACTGAAGATGTCAAGGAATTTTTGTTCGAGCAGCTGAGGATAAAATCTTTGGAAGCAAACAACAGAAGAGCTGCCATGGAGGCATCTTCACAAAGAGGTGACTGGGCTCTCCTGCAGACTTCAAACTATCTGAAACTCAAATGGAGTGTAGGGGAATATCAATATGCAGAAAGTGTTCTTCTGTGGCACATAGCAACAGAACTCTACTTTGCGAAAACGGAGCAAGACGCTGATAACGAAAGAAGAAAAATTTGCAAACTACTTTCAGATTATATGTTTTATCTTCTGGTGATGCAGCATAATATGATGGCCCCATTTTTGGGGAATTGGCATATAGTCTTCCAGGACACACGTGCAGAGGCCAAGAGGTTCTTTTTCAAGCACTCAAGAACTGATCATCGGGAAGCTTGTGAAAAGATTAATGCTGTGGAAGCCAAATTCAGATCAGCCGCTGTGAAGGGTAAAAGCAAATCTGTGTTGTTCGATGCATGTTTCCTAGTAAAACAGCTTGAAAAGGTCGAGGCAGACCAATGGGAGCTAATGAGCCGAGTGTGGGTGGAATTATTGTCCTACGCTTCCATTAAATGTAGACCAATTGTGCATGCTCAGCAACCAAGTAGGGGTGGAGAACTTCTGACTTTCACTTGGCTACTGATGAATCATCTGGGCTTGGGAACACAATTCTATGAGCTGGAAAACCAACCTGGAATGAAAAGGGTGGCAGTTAAGTAAAGGAACCAAATGAAAATCATCTGGGCTTGGCTCTTCATTTCTTTAGAAGGGGATGGTTGAAATGAATCACAACTTCGTTGCAGTTTATTTTCTTGATATTTTGGTCCCTTTGGAACCAAATGAACTTCTTGTTAATTTCAATTTAAATGATACAACTCTTCATTATTACTTCATTTCAATTTCACAGAAAGACTATTATTTACTCACCCACCCAAATGAATTCCACAAACCAAATTACACCTTTATCTTTTGGAATCTGTGAAATAAATACTCCAATTTGTTCCCCCATCAATAATTTAAGGGGCACTCAACTTGTTTATATTATTTTTTACAACTGCTCCTTTTTTAAATGAATAACTCTTCAATTTGGTTAAGGACGACCGACTCCCACCTCGTATAGTATAGGAGGAGACCTTGACCATATAGTCTTCACAAGTATACCTGCAGCCGCATGCCAAAGTTTACTAACCATCTGCTGGATAGATGGATACAAAGCTTTGTACAAGAGACAACATCCACTACTTTATAATATTATTACTTTATTACAAGATTTTTGTTAGGAATTTTCTAGGAGCTTACAACAATTATCTCTTGAAGCTTGACTTTTCAAGTTGGTAGACTTTTCTTGAATTTTCTAATTTTTTTCTAGATTTTTCTAAATTCTTCAAGTGTGTATTAAATTTAACAATACCATTCAACACAGGCCTTCTCAGATAATCAATAAGTTTTCAAGTCCTTTATTCTCTTCAGCATTTGGGAATTCATTCCATCTTTACGTTGCGATTCCTTCTCTTCACAACTATGTCCACACGAGCCCTTTCCACCACATCTTTTGAGTCACCTTATGTGTCTCTAGATCTTCTTTCATACTTGAAATCTAGGCAGGTCACACCATTCCAAATTTTCAATGAGGTTATCATGCCAGATTTTCTCCACCAAATGTCCGAGTTGAAACAGCTTGTTGAAGGCAGCAGCGGCAGTGGCGGCAGCGGCAGCAGTGGCAGCGGCAGCGGCAGCGGCAGCAGTGGCAGAGGAAGCGGCAGCGGCAGCACCACCACCACCAACAATGGCGATGATACCATCGTTGAGGAGGACTCCGACCTGCAAGGGATGTTTGAGGAAATTCAGAATGATCTCATCTACATAAAAAAGGCCTGTGTGCAATTTAAGCAGTGGGAAGAAGATCAAGTCAACGTTTCTATGAAACATTTAGTTTTCCGGGCCTTGGATGATGCCTTTAAACAAAGAACAGGGTCACAAGAACGTAGAGAAGAAACCAGTTATCTTAGGGACAAGCTCGTTAAAACTCACCACCTTGTCTCCATGTTAAAGAAGTCTCTTCATTCTTCCCCGCAACTCTCTTCAGGCAATTTGAAATCCCAGAGCCTACAACGTGCAAAACATTCCATGATCCGTTGGGAATTGAGCCTTCATGGTCACTCAGTTTATTTACCAACCAAATTGCAAGAAATAGAGGAGAAGAGTTCAACATTCAAAGACATAGAGGCGGTGTACAATGATCTAGATGTTCCTCTGTTTCTCAGTGTTCCCTGAAAATGCTGTCATAAAGAAGAAGGTTTTAGTCCATTGGTGGGTTGGTGAGGGGTTTATAGACACTTTAGGCACTCAAGTGAAGACTGCTGAGGATACTGCAAATGATTTCTTCAAACACTTCATAGAAAAAGGCCTCATCAAGCAGGAGTACAAAAAGCGAAGACCAAGTGCTGACAGCTGCAGCATGGACCCTTCTATTCGTTATGCTGTGATCAAGCTTGCAAAGAGAGATGGATTCTTCAGTTTTGATAGCAATGGAAATCCCACCGAAGATTTTACTTGTTCTAGGAGGGCATGCCTTGTAAAAACTGAAGAGGGGTCTTCTGTACACGAATTGCCATACCGATTAGAACAGGAGAAGGTTAAAAGTATAATCAATGTGAATGAGCCTAATCTTGACTTTAGACCTGAATGGTTCTCCAAGATGAAATACGTCGCAGTTTTGCAGCTTGGGAGATGGGAGAGCTCAGCCGAGCATCTGATTCAAGTAGAGGACAGTGAGTTCTTAAAAGGGTTGAAGAATATGAGACAGCTTCGGTACTTAAGCCTTCGAGGAGTCTCTAGAATTACGAAGCTTCCTGCTTCAATTTGCAAACTCAGCAATCTGAGGATCCTGAACCTCAATGGTTGTGTTGATTTGGAGGAGCTCCCTGAAGGGATAGGCTCACTTAAGAACCTGACACACATGGATATGTATGAGTGTTACTTGATCAGCCACATGCCTAAAGGACTTGCTTTGCTCTCACAACTCCAAGTGCTCAAGGGGTTTGTGATTGGTGAGCCAAAGTCTGGAGGCAACTACTGTAAGCTAGCTGATTTGTCAGGTTGGGAACATCTGAGGACGTTGAGTATCCATGTGGACAAAACGTCTGATTCTGCAAAAAGAGAGCTCGTTTCTTTGGCAAAGTTCAAAAAGCTCCGATCTTTATCTATATCATGGTCAAGACTTTATGGCACTCCCAAAAAGCCTTTAACTCTCAAGAGGATTGCAACCAACAAGTTTACGAGCCGGGTTAAATCAACAAAACCACCACCACCACCATCATCTCCATTGACGGATCCAGTTTCTGTTCCTTTGGAGAAACTTAACCTCCATTACTTCCCTGCTTCTAATATGCCTGATTGGCTGATGCAGTGGGATTTGAATAAACTAAAGAAGCTCTATATCCGGGGTGGAAGCCTCTCAAATCTGTGTCACGGAAAACAATGCAAATGGGGTGTCAAAATGGTACGCTTGAAGTTCTTGGAAAAGTTGCAGATGGATTGGTCAAAACTGCAAGACTTGTTTCCAGACCTCATGTACTTGGAGACAGTCGAGTGTCCTCAACTCAGTTCCATCCCATGTGATGAGAATGGTGTGTGGAAAAAGGCAGACTGAGTCTCAATCATTACTAGAAATTTATACTTCAATTTGCTGTATCCTTTGTATTATTACTTTGCTGCTCCATTACCAGATTCTATGCTTCTGTCCTTAGAAAGAAGGTTTCTTGAGCATTCATAGTCTTCACCGTGATATGTTTCTTTGTTATCACTTTGTCAGCACCATTGACTGAGTATAGCCCAGCCCACAATGTCTTTTTCTTTTTTGGAAGAATGTTTAAAGCCCACAAGATTCAATCCTTTTTCTTGTTTTGGAATCTTTGGCTGTCCTTGATCATTGTTAGCACTTAATTTTAAGCAAAAAAATAAGAAGTAAGAATTTCAGCATTATTTGTAATTTTGCAACAAGAAAAAACCACTGGGGTCCTGAGATGGATGTCTTAAAGAACCAAAACCAATAAATATGCAGAAGCTTAAAGAACCAAAACCAATAAATATGCAGAAGCCATTCTGCGTTCATTCAATTGTATCTTCAATTTCCAACCACATTCATGGGGAAGTTAATAATATTGAGGACTGAGGAGTACCAGCGGGTGATATGAATCATGATTGTGTGTGTTTTGTTGTGTGGGATTCACATGCATTCTGTACTACTTTTAAGCTTTAGTACTACTTCCTATGTCGCTTTTCAAGCACATAAATGGGCCAATGCCCTATTTTCCTTGGACAAAGATACTCCATTCATCTTAGTGGATGAAAATTACGTGTCTTCAACGTTCCTTTTATTTTACACATTTCATGCTTTAGGTTGACCAGGCAATGCTTTTTTTTTTCCTTTATACAAGCGATATTGGGAGAAGGAAATTGAACACAGGATCTCAGCTGTAAGAATAATTACTCTCAATCACATGAGTTATAAATTTGTTGACACTTTTTTTCTTTTTCTTTTTTTTAAGAGAAGGGAAAAAAGAAAATGCTTTTCTTACCAGTTGAAGCAACTAGCAAGTCATTATCTTATTGAAACATTTTGATGCCACCAAACAAGAGACACATCATCCCACATCCCAAGTCCCAACTCCACCCAAGAACCCAAACAGGGCAAGAGCAACTCACACACCATTCAAAACCCCATTCTGTCCTTCTCTTGCCCAACTTCAAAACCCCATAAACCAAAATAAATTCTCTCTCTCTCTCTCTCCAATATTCATTCTTTGTTTTTTGGGCAGAAAAATGGGACATTGCTTATCTGGTAGTGAGGAGGAGAACAACAACAATTGTGAGGCATAGACAGTTAAACACTAAAACAAATCAACACTTTCGAAAATGATGGGAGAGCCGGAACCTATTTGCACTGCACATAGTACCATTCAATCTGCGCCGCTTGCTGTCTCTCTTCTCTGCTATAATAGTAGAAGAAGTATATGTGTTCTGGCTACTCATTGTGGTTCTTGTTGTGCATGACAAAGTATCTAACATGGACTCGTACCCTTCATTCACCATCATTTCTTGCACCAAAGTCAAGCATTTGAACAAACTCTCCTGTAATGTAAGAGCAATACAGAAAAATAAAACTTCTAATTATATGATGTTTTAAGTTTGCTGGCCAATTTATGCGCTATAAAGATTGTGCTTACTTTATTTACATATTGGAAAGATGATATTGAAGCTTTAAAAGATGGAAACTGCAGTGGGAGCAGCTCTTGACATGCAGATAGGGCCGCTGATGCTGCAATTATCGATGGTTTAAACTCAACAATCTTGATTTCTGTAATCAAAGTCCAAACAAAATGACAGAATTATGAGTTCCAAGTATAACTACTTCAAACAAAAATTTATTTATTTATTTATTTATAATTGAAGCACTTGAACAACTAACAAGTACTTCTACCATTATGGGCATTGAAGATGACATCCGAAGCTCGACTTTTGAGAGCCTTTGTAAGTGTTTGGTCATTTAAGTCCAGAAAAGAGAGAAAGAAAGGCAGAAAAGAAAAGGGTGTTATCGATCTCATCCGCCAATCTAGAGTGTCAAGAATGAGAAGCTCCATTTTATGAATTGTCTGCGCATCAAAGATGAAGCCTTCCCCTCTCTGTTTCGCATATACATTAAACAAAAGATAATTAGTTCCTCTGCCTGCTTCATAGATGTTCTGAGTTCCGTTTCGCTAAAATTGAAGGGTTGTTTAATTACCTGAAAATCAGTGGCGGAGAAGGGTGTGTTCTTCATCTTTGCAGCTAGAGATAGACAGGAGAGTTCAAGGAGTCTTGAGACCCAAGGCTTTCCTTGCTGCAATGTGAAATATGGATTTAAGAGTAGAATTTAATGTAACATTATCTGGGAATTTCACCAAATTAAAGAAAGGAGTCTTGAGACCCAAGGCTTTCCTTGCTGCAATGTGAAAGATGGATTTAAGCGTAGAATTTAATGTAACATTATCTGGGAATTTCACCAAATTAAAGAAAATCAAGCTCTTTAATTACCGGAATATCTCGCTTGGATAAGAACCGATCCAGGTAGTTAATGGCAAGGTATGGTATGAAAGGGTCAAGGTTGCAAGAATATTGTGCCTGATAAATTACGACAAGTTTAGACCAATATGCAAGAACAGAGAAATTAACTGAAGAAACAGAGCTCACAAGTATTCTTTTCTTCTTTTTCTTCTTCTATTTCATGTTTTACCTGTAAAAACAGAGAAATACGGTATGAAAGGGTCAAGGTTGCAAGAATATTGTGCCTGATAAATTATGACAAGTTTAGACCAATATGCAAGAACAGAGAAATTAACTGAAGAAACAGAGCTCACAAGTATCTTCTTCTTCTTCTTCTATTTCATGTTTTACCTGTAAAAACAGAGAAATGGTTTCGAGGCGAAATGCATAGTAGAAATCTGAGTCTTTTGAGCAGCATAAGGAATTGTGTGAGGGCATGTGGTCAGATTCTGAGGCAAAGAGATCTGGGATTGTATCAGGGTTGTGTTCTTGGAAGCTTCCTAAAGAGTGTGGCTCTTGAAGACCAAACTCATCCATTTTCTCTGCTTGGTTTTGTGTTTCAAGTGAAGTTGTTTGTGAAGTCTGAGTAGAAACAGAGGAGGTCAAGGAGAGGACATTGGAGCAGCAGTTTGAAGAGAGTAATAATAATGATGGAAAAGAGAAGCTTCGCATTCTGTGCTGATAAATTCTTCACCTTCAGTCCTCTCAGCCTTCTGTCTGCAGCTCCATTAACTTATATGCATGTTGGACACTTTTTTTCACTGTCTCATTGGAAAATAAAACAGGATAACTTAGGTTAAATTTTTAATGCTTTTTTAACCCCTAGTAGTAGATAAAAAGAATATTTCTTTCAATGATATTCCTAGTTGAAATGAAAACATCTATTTTTTATTTGTATATGTATAATCTTGTACCCTATAAGAAAAAATAATATTGCATTTGTATATCTATGACAACATTCACATGTGTTGTTATTTTTTTGGAATCGGTCTATCTGTTAACTTAGCTAATAAGAATTTATATCTTCTCATGATTCGGGATAAACGCCAATACATTTAGAAAGAAGGCTACTAAACCCACCGCTATGTATACAATACACGATAGTAGTAGTAGCAGCAGCTGACGAAAGCTACTAAATCCACCGCTATGTATACAATACACGATAGTAGTATAGTAGCAGCAGCTGACATACCATTTTCCTCCTCAGGACTTCTATCATATATGCTTAACATATAGAGGATCTTTGCTTCCGATAGTCGTCTACGCGATTATATTGATGCCCGTGAGACTCGTTGTAGAACTCTCATACATATATCAATGATTGACAACGCGCCCTTTTATTGATGCCCGTGAGACTCGTTATAAAACTCTCATACATAAAAAATTGACAATGCATGTCACGTGCGAATTTATCTATATACGATATAAATAAAATTGTCTACAGTATTTCTTTATTTAACAATCAACAGGCGACCTTGGCAGTCAATCAACGTGACTATCCTCTATTAATGGAGAAATGTGAACGTTTTGATCATCGTCAGCTGAAAATTTAATGGAGAAAATGGTGAATCGTCATGTGTCAAGTCTGCATCTTCTTTCACATTTGAATCCCGTCATATTGAATATTTTTTCTTTCAGGAATAATAAGATTAGGCACTAGGTGGAGCCATTTGAGCTTTCCATGCCTCTTCATGTGATTCACGTGTGTGCAATAAATGCCAATATCGTATTGCCATAATTTAGTCTCGAAGCTCCTATCAGAATCTTGCTATTGTAAAACCCAGAAAATCAAGTGAACCCCACCAAAAGGGATATCAAATTCATAGAAATTTCCCACTTGAATGAACCCCACCACTCCATTGAGTCTCAAATTCACAGAAATTTCCTAACCCAATTGCTTTTCTTAGTTCTGTACTATTTAGAATATGAACTGAAATGTTGGGCAATACTTGTTGTTTCCTCCAATTTCCTCCATTTAACCAACTTCCTTTAGTTTGAAGGAAAAAGTTTGAGAGAAACTATTTTCTATTTTTAAAGTGAAAACTGATTAAAAATGGGTGTTATGCAGAGGAGGACATAAATAATGTCACCTTACCAAGAGTTACAAACCACACACAACCATGCATTGCATTCCAATGAATTTTTTTTCTTTTTTTTCCTCTTAAATTTAAAGATCATACGTGTGCACAATCCGTGATACTGCTCTTCCCTTGTCATGCCAGGGTGACAGCTAGGGTTCATGTCTTTGTGTTCAATGTGAGCCCCTGTTAAGTGCATCGATCTAAACTTCTCGAGTTTTCTAAGCCCCATTCACACATCAAGCGTCCAAAATCACCAACTGGACTAATTCACATTTGCGTTATTGCTCGTGCCTTGGCTTATTATTTTTCTCACTAATTATATGGTAATTAAGTGAGGCAATTAGGGAGACGTGCGAGGCGTTGCATGTGCATAATTAGAGTTTGAAAATTCATACAAAAGTTGGGGGGGCTCCGAGCTGTCCCATATTATGTATATATATACAAACTTTTTTCAACCATGTTGTGTCCATTGAATAAGACATGTGCATTCATCAATTTGCAGAAGCATAATCAGACTATGTCGAGTTGATGTCAGTGCTCTTCTTTCTTCATATCTTGATCCAATTTGTGAACCTGAGCCTCTCGTTTACGGGATAACAGGTTAGAGCAGCAGACCCACATCACATAACCAAGACAGGAGCTTTGGGAAACTTCCAAAATTATAGCGTTTTGCTTTGTCCCTTGATCAAAAGGCTAGTGAGGGGACATACAAAAAGAAAACAACAGTTGTATGATTTAACGTTTACACATTGTTTATTTCCTAAATGTGAAACATGCACTTGGTTCTTCAAACACGTACACAGTCCATATCCCTCTCACGGGCTCATTACATACCTAAATAAATTACACACTTTTACACACTCTCAGGATTCTGTGTCAAATTTTCTAAATTTCAATTATGGTACGTTAAAGAAGCTTGTAACTTTACCTGTACACGGGGTCTTAAGTTCGTTTCCTCTCTTTCCTATATTAAACAATATTTATATAATGCAAAGATTTGATGAAAGGGACATGGGATGAATATATAGGAAGAGGGAGAAGAGCTGGCGAAGGAGCCAAATAGCTATATCACCATCTGCTTTATAAATTTTTTGTTTCGTGAATGTCTTATTCTTTAGGAGCCTCTGCCAAGGGAGGGGACGCAATTAAAGTCTTCGTTTGTGTGGTTGGCAATTGGCAATTTGGCATTGATGCAAGAGAAAGCTTATGAATAAATACCCCACCTTTTTTTCTTTTGTAAGTTTTTATGGCGAATACAAACCCAACTTTAATTAGTAATGTATTACATTGGAAGACCAATAAACTTTTTCTTTTTCCTTGTCTGTCTATCTCCCTCCCCTTCTGTCCTCTGTTCTCTGCTTTCTGATTTCTGGTGGCTTCTTCCACATATTATAATATTATAATATTATAATATTATAAATTATATGCTATGTTTGGATATCAATAATTAAATAATTAATATACACTTGAAAAGAAAATGTATGTGGCATGTCACACAAAGCAGACAAAAGATTTGGCTGAATGAAACTCTTTGGGCATGTTGGTTTGGGTTCAAACTGGAAACTTTTTGTGGGCTTATGAATTCAACTCAAAGCCCAAACAATAGTTGTGGCATATGAATGATTGAGCCCGTTAGCAAACCTTGCCAAGATTCTTGACCCCTAAAATAAAATAAAATAAATTTGCCGCTGGCCACTAGGTGTTGTATTTTGATTCTTTTAGGCATGCGTATCCTCGTGGGTTCTAACTTCTATTTGTAATTGAACTTTTTTAAAAAAAATTTGGACATACTACCAACTATCACAATATAATTAGTTAGTGTGATTGAAAACGCATTTAGCATTAATCTATTTATCTCTCAGAGGTGAGGAAGACTTTTCCCCTAATCATCCAATTAATTAGGATATATTTACTAGGAGTGGGCATCGATTGGGTTGGGTCGGTTTTAGTCCCAACCCAATATGTAGAGCTCATTATTAGGTTTACTTTCAAGTTTTGGTTCCAATCCATACATAGTAGTTTATAATTTTTTGAACCCAAGACTAACTTATTTTTAGACCAATCCAACCCACTAAGATCGAGTTAGATGGTTGTGTCCACCCCTAACATTTACTAACAATAACAATATAATTAAGTTTGTTCACTATAGAATTCTCACTTACTTACAAATTACAATGATGATGGGCCGGGCAAATCCTAGCTCAGACATATCCTTGAGAACAATTGGAACATTTTTAAACTTGTGAACTCCGAAATTCAACCCATGACTCTGCATGCCCAACCAATATGCTTCCATCAATTCATATGAATTTAATTTGCCATATGCCCTTCCATATCAATCTTGAATTGATATAAAAAATCATAAATTAAGAAAAGGCCTTTGCGATAATATAAAAATCTAACAAAGCCTCTTATTATTAGTTTTACTTTTTTACAAAGGAACTTATTTGAAAGGAAAAGTTTTCACTTTTCTATACCATTTTTCCCTTTTTAAAAAAAAGCCCTTCACAATTTCAACACAATACCAAGTTCAAAAAGCTAATTACAACTGTATCATCTCATCACTCACCCAGCAATCATCATCAACAATAAAATAACCACACTTTAATCACTCACAGTAATAAGTGTTCTTTCCCTTCATGCATTGCATTTGCATTGTCAAGAAGATGTATTGGGGCCCCGACCCATATTTATTTCGGGTCCAGGTCCTTGCCATTCCTCTCCAGAAGATGGCACCACCATACCTGGACTGTATGCCGAAACCATAGCAGCATTCGGATTCCTCACTCCATAGTACACTTGCTGCTGGTGCTGGTTCACTCCATCAGAGACCACCCTAGCTGACACATCATATGGATCCAATCCCCCAACTGGCCTCAACCCTCCACCATATACTTGACCCATGCCCGGTATCTGGTTATGATAGCCCACAGGAAACTGACCCGGGTATTGCTGATGAACAAACTGACTCCGAACTGGAACCGGTTGGACCTGTACGTTTGCGGGTGGAACCTGACCCGGGTAATAATAAACGGGTACTGACCGAACAACATGACCCGGGAGCCAAATAGCTATATCACCATCTGCTTTATAAATTTTTTGTTTCGTGAATGTCTTATTCTTTAGGAGCCTCTGCCAAGGGAGGGGACGCAATTAAAGTCTTCGTTTGTGTGGTTGGCAATTGGCAATTTGGCATTGATGCAAGAGAAAGCTTATGAATAAATACCCCACCTTTTTTTCTTTTGTAAGTTTTTATGGCGAATACAAACCCAACTTTAATTAGTAATGTATTACATTGGAAGACCAATAAACTTTTTCTTTTTCCTTGTCTGTCTATCTCCCTCCCCTTCTGAAATAACAGGGGCAGGAGAACCCGGATCCGAAGCCGACACGTTGTCTTGCAATACGGTTCGGGGTTTCGGTTTGAACTCGCCGCGCGAGTGAGTCTCGTCGGAGTTGTCTAACCCGAACAGGTAGTCGGGCACTTCGGAGACAATCGAGGAAGCTTCGGAGCGGCCTCGCTCGAGCACGGAGGAATTAGACGCGCCGCTGTTGAGCGCGTCGAGGAACCAGAGCTCGCGTTTAGCGGAGCCGTCGAGCAGCGAGCTGATGCTGGAGGATCTCGAGTTAACTGTTGAGTCCTCGCCTTTGCTTTCTGATTTCTGGTGGCTTCTTCCACATATTATAATATTATAATATTATAATATTATAAATTATATGCTATGTTTGGATATCAATAATTAAATAATTAATATACACTTGAAAAGAAAATGTATGTGGCATGTCACACAAAGCAGACAAAAGATTTGGCTGAATGAAACTCTTTGGGCATGTTGGTTTGGGTTCAAACTGGAAACTTTTTGTGGGCTTATGAATTCAACTCAAAGCCCAAACAATAGTTGTGGCATATGAATGATTGAGCCCGTTAGCAAACCTTGCCAAGATTCTTGACCCCTAAAATAAAATAAAATAAATTTGCCGCTGGCCACTAGGTGTTGTATTTTGATTCTTTTAGGCATGCGTATCCTCGTGGGTTCTAACTTCTATTTGTAATTGAACTTTTTTAAAAAAAATTTGGACATACTACCGAAATCAAAGCGTCAAGATCCTCGTTTGGCAGCTGGTACTTCACCGTCACGTTACTCAGTCCTGCAAATAATGAAAAATAACCAAAAAAAATACAATAAGGAAGAGGGCAAAACCACTGAATTGCGATTTGACGGCGTCGTTTTGAGGAGTTCACCTGAGAGTTTAGAGAGCTTGGTGAGGAGGGAAGAGAAACTGGCGGCACGGTGTACTGCAACTATTCGAGTATCGCCGCCGACGTAACGAAGCTGATTATCGTGTGGCCGTGGGAGAATCTTGCCGCCGAAGCTGCACATGAACCGTACACGTGTATTCAGATCGTGAGATGGGTGGTCGGAGCGTGGGGTGGACGAGACCGAGTCGGTGGCGGCCGAGTCCAGCTCTGACGGGTGAAATGACGTCATTCTCCGTTGAGCAATATTAACTCTGCCCTGCCCTGCCCTGCCCTGCCCTGCAACAAAAGTTATGAAGTTTTAAGGGTCAGGTTTGGCGTATCGAATTCTACGCCGAGAATCCGAAATCGACTTGAAGGTGCTGACCGTAAGGAATGTCTGCGTGTTGGAATTAGCGTAGTGGGTGTCTGTGATGGATGGCCGTCACAGACGCTTCCCTGACCTGACCCGACTCTGGTTTTCAGTTTGGGTTTTTGACCTTCTTTACTGGGCCCCCGCTTACTTTTTTTCGTCAAATTTATTTATTTATTGTACCTAATTTAGCTAATTGAGTTCAGTAAAGCTATATATTAATCTTAGCTTATATGTAATGAGTATTATAATTATTGCCCAGTTGTCTGTCCCGAGACTCAGTCAGAAGCAGAGTAAAGTGTGCTTTTTGTTTAACTTTTATACTGCCATTATAAAAGTTTGTAAGATAAAAAAGCATGGAATCTTCAAAGGATCAATCAAATCCCAAGTCTTCAACGGAAAAATCAATACCATAATCATAAGTTTATTTCTAAGATCAAACTTGCTACATGCATATGTTGTTAATATTTTGCATCATTTTCAATCAAATCGGTGACCGATGATTTGATATTCAAATGGATATTTAGAAGAGGAATTGTGCTTTAAAGTTAAAACGAACAAACAACGTCTTTTGTGCATTTTGAAAAGGCAAAAAATAAAATTAGGAAAATGAAAGAGAGATAAATCTAAAGAGAATACTCACACTTGGTAACTATGGGGCTTGAAAATTGAAATGATGATCCGTCCGTCTCTAATCTCCCCTGTAATAATAGAACCCCAGCCCAGCAAAAACCATTTGCTTTCAAAGAAAGGAGATTGAGAAACTTGCTGAAGAGGAGAGAGGAGAGGTCAGAGTGCGGAGTTGGGTGAGCTGCTCAAATATAGATGGCATTGCTTAAGTCGCAGGGCGAAGGAAGGTGTGGGCCCCGGTGGTGGCGGGTATTATGCTTAAAAATACTGGTTTTGTGGGCCCAGTTGGTCCTGTCTGATTGTGAGGTGCAACGTGGCTGTTTGTCACCATTTTGTCCTGGGTCCCAGGATACTTCTACCCTCACTCGCTTGCTTCCGTGATGCCCTCACTGTCCAATCATACGACAGTTTTATATGCCGCACTTGTCCGCGAAACCGCGATCAATGGGTCCTACCTTCTTTGTGCTTTTTGCTCCATGGTAAACTATTGATTTCCACGTATGAAAAGTTAAATACAGACAATTCTTTTTTCTTTTTTATAAATATCACAAAGTGTCCTCACACCGGAGGAGTGAGATTAATTCCTAATCAGAGTTCGGTTTGCTTCTAGCCATAAAGTGCTTCTAATGGGTTTCGAAACCCTGTCATTGAGGGACTAGGTAGCTCGCTAGCTGGAGGTGGTAGTTTACCAATCACACCACACCCTGTGGTTTATATGGTATGAGTGAGTATATATGGTATTTAAATAAATAATACCAGTCTTTGTCTATCAACTAGTTGGAAATGATTATAGGGACGTTTATGGTAATATCCAACTTGGGCGGTGCTGGTTGTTGCTTACCCTAAAAAGAAGAAGAAAAAATAAATATATTGGAGAAAACTTTGGGCGGTGGAGGATAACATCCTTTTAGAGACAGAGACATATTTTCGATGTTTTTTTTTTATTGAATAGGGAGAGATTTTCAAATTTTGAGTGCTGCATTGCATAACCTTCTCTTTTTCTCTCGGACCCCATAAATTAATAAGCATCATGCTTTAGCCTGTACACAAAACAAAGGGAATGGAACAAGAAATTAATGACCCACTTGCCAATCAAATCTTTTATTTTCGTAGGAACTTCCTTTTTAACAATCTTGGTCTACACACTAGGAAAGGATTGGTCTTTGGTTTGGGTTGGGTTATCCTCTCTCTCTCAACCAGAGCCTGCGACTTCGTCCCCAACCCTAATTTTACCACATGATATTGGACCCAAACCCTAAATAGACCATAGCATTAGGCCGTACTTTAAATGCCCGACTCAGTACATTCGATTTGTTAAAACTGGGCCTTTGGGGAAAATCTTAATCCAAGTCCGTACAGTCGATTTCTCTTCTACAACACTGCTTTTTTTCTTCAAATTTTTATGCGTCTTCTACAATACTGTTGTTGTAACTCGTATTTCATTTGTGCAATTATTATTTCTGTTTTGCATGGTATAATCATCCTTACAATATACTAGCTTCTGAAATATATATATATATATATATAAGTTATTCTCTTATCCGGATGTCCGCACGTTATTATCGTGCGGATCCTATTGTAAACAGGCAGGAAAACAGAGAGAGGTAGTACAAAATACACTGCGTCCGCACGATAATAACGTCCGAATATCCGCATAAGAGAATTTCTATATATATATAAGAATCATAGCATTTCGCGATTGTAACACTGAAATTAGTAGTAATAGGATTCATACTTACGCCCAAATACTTTTACAGGATTCATACTGAAAAACATATTGCGGGATATTCCATATTTGACCGCCCAATATATTGACCATAATAGGATCAACATATTACACGTGTGGACGCACGTAGTGAATATAAAAACACCATCACTTAATTTGTGCAATTATATTCGTGCCTTGTATACGATACACATCCCGAGGATCAGTTTGGTTCCCATTCTGCAACCTAAGCTTCGTCTGCATGCTAGCCTAAGGGGATGTATTCAATTGAGATTTTAAAAGACTATTTAGGGATAAAAAAATCTTGTGGATTTAAGCAGAATATAATTACTTATAGGATTTTTTTAATGGATTTATACAATCAAGATTTTTTACTTATGATTTTAAAGATTTCTATTACAAGATTTATAAGATTTGAAAGGACCACGTAAATTTCTTCTAGGATTGGCATAATATTTTTTTAGAAAAATAGACCCTTAAAAATGAGATGCTTACCTTCACTCTTGGCAGCATACCCTCCCACAGCCACCACACACACTCTCATTTGTGTATTGACGGGAAATGAGGGATGATTGTTAACATGGTGATGGGGATCAAGACACCTACCTCCCTTGAGAATTTTTGAAGTCTTGGCAATGTTTCTTTGTCTTGACGAGATATTTGATGTTTTACTGTTAGTGGAGCATCTCGATTTTGGTTGTTAATCTTTGTGATGTAGGTAGTCGTATTGTTTGAGATTTAGGTGGTTTTGGGTCAAAAGAGTGTGTCAAATCAAGGTGCAGGTTCCATTTCTTGTGGAACCAGAAATGCTGTGTAATTGTAAACCATAATGAAATACCAGTTGGGATTTATTCCAAACCAGTTTCTTTCTTTTCTTCATTAGTGATCTCCTCATAAACAGAATTTATGAGCTGAAGTTTACATTTGATGAATTCAGCCAACCAAGATTAACAGTCATCCCTCATTTGCCGATATTCAGCCAACCAAGCCTTTGCTTGCATCACCATCGCATTTGGGTCCACACCACCACCATCCCAAATACACGAGTTGCATTTGAATGCCAACCTCTTCCACAACAAGAATTCTATTAACGACTCTCTAGTAACTAATCTAAACAGAAGCTACACCCTTTTGGGGTTTTTGTCGAACAGATGGTGGGCAATTTTTGCCCAGCCATCCAGCTTTGTCATATAGATGCGTGAAGGCCCACATGTTAGAAGCTTACCCCAACAGCTGGTAGCTCTTGTTTTGAAGGTGGTTTGGTCTTCATGTGAGGAAAGGTGAGGAAAGAACATTTCTTATACCTAATGGTCGTTAGTGGTGGTTTGGTTGCCATGGTTTATACGCAGTGCCCAACCGCTTGGGTGGAGGTCAAGGTGAGGAAATAATTTTTTTTTCAAAAGTCTCACGTGAAAAGTCTGATGGGTTAGGAAAAAAAAAAGGCATTTTTTTACTTATTTAAAGTCTTGATTGAATACCGCTAGATTTTGACACCCTCATTTAAAAATCCTAATAATCTTAATGGAATACCACAAGACTGTTTAGATTATTTAAAAGTCTTAATCGAATACCACATGACTTATTCATCTCAAAATAATCTTTTAAAATCCCAATTAAATACACCCCCTAAGTTTTTTTCTTTTCTAACTTTTTTTCAAAGTACTTTTGATTCGATTATCGACAATACGTCACGTATGAGGCACAAATTAAATAAATTTGGAAAAAAGCCGACTGTTTAATTGTTTGTTTGACTCAACTTTTGAAGAATCAACAAAGGGGGAGATTCTAATCACCCACAGAAAGAAAAGATTCCATTGAAAAAAAGAGAATCAAGAAATTTGTGAAAAAGTAGGAAACTTTTGAAAAGTTGCTTCCGGAAAAATATTAACAAAAGTATTTCAAACATAAATCAATCGTTTTAAATAGATATTAATGTACCTTTCAGATTGTTTAGGAAGTAATCCAAATTTAAGATTATTGTTTATATTTTCATTAACTATTCCAAAAAATTCCAAATCACACCAGCCAATTGAAATGATGAAAAATAAAAAAAATTGTATGCGTGTGGGACTCTTTTATCTTTTTTTATTAACTTTTTTAGATAATCCCAACTGTTGACGAAATAACAGTCGTGATGCGAGCTATTTTTAAAGAATAGAAATTGAAGCACTTTCAACTCCTCCAAGCAAACGAAAGTTGTTCGTCACGTTGTCTTGCATCTGAGCGAAGCTAGTTGTTTTACAAGTCAACATCTTCGAAGATTCTTCTTTTATATATTACTTTCTGCTTGCACCTTCCCCGTTCCCATTCCTGGTTCTTCCTGATCAGCTTTCATCAATCACATCACAGCTAACTTCAACTTTTTCTAAAAGGAAGAAGAAAAGAAACCCTTTACTCTTTTTGGCTTTTAAATTCCACAGGCTGCTGTCATTTTTGCTTTCATATTGAGATTACTTCACACAGTCCATCCAACCCCATCTTCTCAAAAACACAACATAATCTCATATCTCTTTTTCTGTCCACGTGGGCAATGATAAAAGCCTGCAATAATTTGTATATTTAATTCCTGCTTCTCTACAAGCATTGCCTTTATATATTGCTTGAACAAGTCAAAACCCCTCTCGTCCAGTTTCTTAATCATCTTTTATATTCTTCTTGTTTCTGGAATCAGTGGAGGATATACTATTGAAAACCAAGTTGCATATTCAAGTCAGCCTTAAGAATCTACTCAGGTAAACAAGTGTATGCATACTGATTCTGAAACCCATTTTCATTTTTATCTTCTTCTTCTGCATCTTTGATTTGTTCCCT